GATGGAACAGCAAGCCAAAACCTGGGAAATGAATAACTTAAACCCAAAAAACTATGTGGAATGGATGGGCATTAATAACATTTTTTCTTTCTCAATCACCCCTGCTGAGGCCCAGAGAAGAGTCGGGGAACACTGCTGGAACAAGATGGGGGCAGTATTAGTTAGAATAGATGGTAGGGCAGGGGCTGTGGGATCATCCTCTCTTCTGGTCCCCATATTATTCTTAAGCATCCTTTGGGACTGTTCCCTCTCTCTGTGAGGGAATGGTCAGTGAACGGCATGGAATGCTAGTGAGGAGCGTGCACTCTGTCAGTGCCCAGCTGCCTGAGGCCACAGTTGGTTCGGAGGATGGACTATTATTTTTTCCTGAGGAGACTCAGTACGCCATGACTGAAATTAAGGTGGACTCTGTGCAGCATTGATTCCATTCTCTACTTTCTCTGTGAGCTGTTATTAGTCCTGTTTTTCTACCACCTAAGGATGAATGAACAGTTATTAATATTTGGGTAAATCAGAGACAAAAATCAGATAAGGGGACATAGATCAGCCCCCAGTATACTCTAAATCTTGCCTGTTCTTCTTCCTAATTATTTTGAGACAGAGTGATATCTGATATGGGGTCTCTCAGCAGAGATTAAAACATTGTACTTCTAGAGAAGCTTGTGGGACAGATTAGGGGTTCCCATGAAAATCAAACCTTCTGTCCACATTTTACAGTTTATCTGTATGTGGTAGACAGTTCCAGGAAAGACCCCAGAGGCCCGGAAGGGATAATGAAGAGCAGGCAGAATCCTTGCCTGCCATAGTACTAGGATGCATGTTCATCAGTCACCTTCTGGCTCAGGTTCCCAGGGTGAAGCCTGTGTGGTGGGGCTGCACAGCAGCGCGTGCCTGTGAAGCCTCTGATCGCGAGCGAAAGGTGAAGATCCAACTCAGGAAGAAGTCTCCTACCTGACAGAACATCACGTTTCTGTGCCCTTCCTCCGTGGAGCACCACTGATTGAATAATTGTTTGAAAATCATCCCTGGATCAGGCCTATTTTATTCTGAATTTCTTAAATAATGACACAGAGAAAAAATTTTAACCACTTTCAAGTTGAGTAATAGCATGAGCAACTTCAGTGTAAAATGTCATAGGAGGGAATTCTGGAGCCCTGTCCACCCCAGAATCCTCAAAATTCCTAGTACAACCAGTTAGAATTAACCTTATCACAATTTGAAATTTTTGCCGTATGTATTTGCCTTTCATTGGACCTTTATTCTTTTGTACTTTGTGAAAAATAAATCAATTTTGTAATAGGAGCATCAAATTCCCACATCCCAAGAATTAATAATGCCACCCTCACTGTAGTTCGTATTACTTATTAATCTTCTGCTATTGGCTCAATGTTTTTGAGACATACAAATTCATACATAGAAACTTAGTGTCCAGTATGCCAGTATTAGGTGTTGGCTTTTGGAGGAAGTAATTAAGTCAGGAGGACGCTGTCCTTATAAATAGAATTAATGCCCTTGTGAAGGAGGTTGAAGGGAGCACACTTGTCACTTCTGCCATGTGAGGGATGCAGCAAGAAGACACCACCTATGAGGAACAAGGCCCTCATCAGACACCAAATTTGCTGAATCCTTGATCTTGGGCTTTCCAGACCTCTGAACTGTTATTTATACATTACCCAGTTTAAGGTTTGGTTTGGTTTGTTTGTTTGTTTTTATAGCAGCCTGAATGGACTAAAACACTTACTCATGCACTTTGTTCTATTTCTGAACTTTTTAAAATTTTTTTCATTTCAGCATATTATGGGGGTACAGATGTTTAGGTTACGTATGTTGCCCTTGTCCCCCTCCCCTCCAAGTCAGAGCTTCAAGCGTGTCCATCCCCCAGATGGTGCGCACCACACTCATTATGTATGTATATACCCAT